AATAATGAAAATCATCTCCCTCGAGAGCTGAATGTGTATGCTCCGCTCTTATACAAACAACACACAGATCGTGTGTATCCCCCGCCGCCAGATATCGTGGGCAGGGAGGAACACAACGTCTGTAATGCCGTTCGCTCGCCATAGACTTAGACTTTGCTTTTGACATGATTGATATGCTTGTGGCTGACAGACAACAATAAATAGGACTGACACATACACAGAGCGCTACTGAAGAGCAGAAGCTAACTTGCGCTCTGCTGATTGCGCTTTTATACTTCCTGGTGCTCACGTCACCCCGCTCGTGACGTCTCGCTGCTCCATTGGGCTGATTTTGCACGTGCTTCAGAACGCGGTCACGCAGGGACATTCCCAAAGCGATTCTCAACGCAGCTCGAGTTCCTTAAGTGGAACTTTTAATTGTACCTTATTACAAAGTATACTTTTTAATTTGACCTTATTACTTATAAGTGTACTTCAGTGTAAGAAACTCTCATGAAAGTGTACACTCTTTAAATAAATGTAAGTGGCCCTTTACTTTTTTAATATAATGTTATCTGTAAATATGTGTTTTTTATGATCAATAAGTAAAATACACATTTCAAATTAAAGTGGTATAGTGAAATTGGTACGTTTTGACATATAATGGGGGTGAAGTGTAAAGCAGTATGTTAATAAGGCTTGAATGTATGCCAGAATTATTGAATTGGATTGAAATGGGTAATCAATCATACCCATGTAAAGAGCAGTGTTTTCCGCCCTCGAAAAATCATCCAGATAAGACAACCCAAGAGGCATGACGGGTGTCTCTCCTACCCCACGAAGCATGTTCCCGAGAAACACATAGAGCCACAAGGAAGAACTGGCTGCTTTCTCACATTCTACAAAAACAAATGAACAACTGCACATGCAACTCTGTAAGACACTCCAATATCAGCATCTCAATGAAAGAATAAATTCTAAAAAGCATTCAAACCCAATACATTAGGCTTCCAAAAGTTCAAAGTTCAGAAAAGAAAAGCTAGGTATAAGCAAACTAGAGTGACAGATCAGTGTTCCAGGGGATTGTGGGTAGCACAATCATATGTGACCCTGGACCACAAAGCCAGTCTTAAGTCACAAAGGTATGTTTGTTGAAATAGCCAACAATACATTGTATGGATCAAAATTATCGATTTTTCTTGTAATGCCACAAATCATTAGGATATTAAGTAAAGATCATGTTCCATGAAGATATTTTGTAAATCTCCTACCATAAATATATCAAAACTTAATTTTTGGAGAGGCAATTGGTCTTCTCTAGAAGATCAAGGCCCATAAGTTTATTATTGTGATACATTGGTTGCAGTATCGCTATATATGGTTTAATATCTTATCTGAGGTCATTCTCAGGGTTAAACAACTTACCTGCTTGAATTTCCACAGTGGGAATTTCATCTTGTGCAAGACTCCCATTGGTTAAGCATGGTAGAATACTCTCTGTACCATTCGAGGCAGAGAAATGGGAAATTGTTGTTTCGTATTTGTACCTGTGGAAAACGCATTAACACATTGTTACACAATTTGTCTTATAATTTGAATCAGAAATGTATCCTTGTTGACACAAATGTGGTAACTAAAGTGGTTTAAAGAGTAGTTGACCAGTTAAACTTACAGTCCTTGGAAGAAATGTGGTGCCGCAGTTATGAAGGATCCCATGGCCATAATTAAACATCCAGCTCCTATGAGTCGTGGTCTATGCAGCTTAGCACCAAAGTAACTCACAAAAGCTATTACAAACAGATTACCTGAAAAGAACAAAAATTGGTATCCTATTAACATCACCACCAATTTTAACCATAAAGAAGAAATAAACTGCAAACGTACTCATAATTTCCTGCAGTACAGAACATACTTAAAGACATTTTGAATACATTGGTCCTAAAAATTATTCACTTGAGCCACACTGAAAAAAAGAAGAAAAAAAAAAAAATAT